AGATCACGCCTGGGCCAGGCCGCCAGGTCGCGCCTGGGCCAGGTCGCCAGGTCAGTGCCTGGGCCAGGCCACCAGGTGGGACATCATCAACTTGGCTAAGGCAAGTTGTTGCCTAAGTGGTTTCGGGTGTCACCTAGTTGTTCTGAGGTGCCATGTGTCACAATATCATTGGAGGGCCAAAATCCACCCTCATCAAGGGTCAAATGGGTCAACCCATGATGTCATATATAATAAAACTTCTAATATTACTCATGATGTCATAAAATAAAAAAATGTAGAAAAAATCAGGCACACTTCTATTTTTAATATTACTCATAATAAATAAAATTAAGTTTAATAAGTAATAACTATTTTTATTGATATTAGAAATAAAATGCAAAATTAATACCAACCTAAAACTGAAATTGTTTTCCTATTTCATGTGAGGTCAACAATTTAGCCTTTTACATCAAATGTAACCCTTGATATCATAATTAAATAATAAAATTAAAATAAGAAAAGCACAAAAACTATGAACAAGTGTAGAAATTTTGTAGAAAATAGTTGGGCACATCTCTAATATTATATATCATCCTAGAAATATTAAAAAAAATGAAAAAAACTAGAATAATTGGTTATTTTGCTAATAATTTATATTAATCATTTTAAAGGAAAACAAGTGTGATAAACAATAATTGTTTTTATTAATGGTGGAAGGAAATACAAAATTTAAAGTTAACTCAAAAGTGAAATGGTTGTTTTTTGGTGGAGGCCAATAGTTCAAAATTTGAACTTAAAAGTGTTAAGCATTGATGTCATAATTAAATAATAAAAATAAAAAATAGATAAAAACACAAATATTACATAACTTTTGTAGAAAATATTTGGGAACATCTTTAATATTTTATATTAAACATATTAAAGAAAAATGAATGTGATAAAAATAATTGTTTTTTTGTTGATGATGGAAAAAATTACAAAAATTTAAACTGACCCAATAATATTGGAATTGCTTTTCTATTTGGTAGTAGATCAATGGTTCAACCATTTGGGTCAAATGTGTTAACCTTTAATATCATATATTCATCATATTAAACAAAAATAAATGTAATAAAGAAGAATTATTTTTATACATATAAGAATATAAAAAATTGTAGAAAAATTGAAAACATACTATTAATATCATCATCATCTAAAATTGCTTCATGCAAAGCATGTGCACATATCTAGTCTATTTAATAATTAATCTGTTTACCTATTTGGAGACTGGATTGAAATGGTTGAACCATTGACTCAACCTCTTATTATTACAAAAATTCATGTCATTCATACAAAACGGTTGAACCATTTAAAAATTTCTTATATAAATAAATAATAACATCAAGGGATGACCTATTGTGGGGATGATTGATCTAATGACTTGTTGATCTATAAAAAGGGCCAAACAATTTGTACATAGTATTTTTGTCCCAGATTCTTATAAAAAAATTGTGCTCCCTTGAAGAAAGAGACCAGATTTGTTCTTGGGGCTCAATGCGAAAAGAATACAAATACAATTACGTACAATATAAATATATACAAAATATAAGGTTTTACACTCTACAAATTTGTATCATACCCCTTCGGAACTGAGCCTAGAGTGCACATACACCAATCTCACAGCATTTACACTGCAAATCAGGATATATCCAGTACTTGTATATTGTCATTTATGAGAGATACTAGTCAAGACCTGTGTATTTCTCGAAAAAATTGAAGATGGAGCTCGATGGCACTTCCAAATAAATGGTGTCCATCTAAGTTCAATTGAAGTATTATTTTTTGGGGTTATGTCTAGTTTATCCAATCACAATCTAAGTTGCGTTTTATTGAGAGTGGCCAATTTCCTATTCTATAGATAAAATTGTGCTAACTTTTTTGTATCTTAATGCTAATTTTTATTAATTTTTTGGAAAAGGTCTTTTATTAATTTTTATTGGTTTATTATTATTTTTAGGTAAAATTATAAAAAAAATCATCTTCTAACAATTGTATAAACCACCTTTGTTTTGACCCTAACAAAGGCCTCCCCTATAGTTTTGGGAAAAATTGCAAATACCTCCTTTCCATTAACTCTTCGGTGACTTTAAAGTTACCAAAATACCCTTATCATTGTTAATGCATTATCATACATAATTTAAAGTTTCAACTTTACCCTCCACTAATATATTTTTCTAGAGAACTTTCAAAGAATAATTCTCCTTACTCTCCTTGGACAAATGTAAAAATGCTAGTGAAATAAAATTAATGCATTACATCAACATCTTTCATTTGGAATATTGACTAAACGAAGGTATTTGCACCTTTTTTCAAAACAATAGGGAAGGTTTTTGTTAAGGTCAAAACATTGGGGAGTTTCATAAGATTGTTAGAAAATCCAAGGGGGTTTTTATAATTTTCTTTATTTTTAAATGAATTTTAAAATAATTAAACTATGTTTAACATTGATATTTTTTATTAATTTTTGAAAGTGATTGATGAGAAGAAACCAGAGATGATATGAATGGCTTTATATACAGGGATAACTAGACTGAACTGAACAGTTAAAACCTATATATATAATTCCCACCACAACTGCAACTTGGTGTGAGGCGCTGCAACGTGGTGCGTGAGGAGCAAGTCCAAATAACTCGAGGAAGCAGGTAGTGGAATAAATGACTTAGGGAGCTGAATTTTGTAGATTAGGATTTTGTCTACACAACCCACCATCCTCAATTCCTCACAGCCATTACTTCCGTGCATTGGAAACCTATCCATACTTCTTTGTTTCTATGACGGATTCTGTGAGGACGAAATCCACTGAGTAATCTTGCCAATAATGCAGTATCAATTGAGACAAGTCAAACTCCACGCTCATGACAGATGACAGAGCGGCCCAAGAAGCGATAAATACTCCCTGACAGAGTGAGAGTGTGGAGTCTTTTCTTACTTCACTAAGAGTATAAAACCACTCATCCCCCCTCTCTGCAAGTGCAGTAATCAGTTGCAAAACATTATTCCAAAAGAATGGCGTCAACTGCTGGCCAAACCTCCGCTGCTTCCCAGCAAACCCCAACAACCGGTAAGCACATAAATCCCTGTTAATTTTATTCTTCCATAGTTATTATTAGGCTGGAAGCAGCAGTGATCTCGTTTCACGCATATTCCATAGGTGGGGATGGAGACAGCAGCAGCTATCAGCGCTACCAGTCCCTGTACAACGCTGCATTCTATGGGGATTGGGAAAAGGCTAATGAATTCTTCGAAACCAACCCCAACCCCAACTCCATTTCTGAAAATATCCCTTGCACAGGGAAGAATGTTCTTCATGTTGCAGCCTTGGCCGGAAGAACAGAGTTCGTGAAGAAACTGTTGGACTCGATGACTGCTGAACAGCTAGGGTTGAAAGACGATAACAAGTGTACTGCTCTCACTTACGCGGTTAGAAGTGGGAACGTAGAGATCGCAAAGCTCTTGGTGGGGAAAAACGATAATTTGACACAGATCCAGAATGAGAAGGGCTGGTTTCCAATCTTAGAAGCAGCAATCTTGTGCCAGAAGGGGATGCTGAACTTTCTTCTTTCAGTAACCAAGGATGAAGATGGGGGTCCTTTCCGAGGCAAGAAAGGCGCCTTAATACTCGTTAATGCACTTTATGCTGATTTCTATGGTACGTTTTTCTTTTTTCGCTCCAGATTTCTATGGTATGTATTGTATATTATAGGGTAAAAGAATTAAACCTTCCTTCATATTTCATTATCTCTCATAAATACTGAAACCTCCCTGGTGCTGTTATAGGTATGTCCAACGGAATCATAAAAAAATGTTTTTATTCTTGATAAATTTTCAAATTTCCAAAATAGTAGAATCCAATGGGGAGTGATTGTTGACTCCTATGAGAAAAAAGTCCTAATGTGGACAAGAAACTCAGAAAGGAAGTTGATTGTCTGATGGAAGGAATTGTTAGCAATATCAACATTTGCTGTAGCAAGGATTCTGATGAATAAGATGCTTCGGTTAGTCTGTTTCATGTTTGATAGATTTTTATTTATTTATTCTTTCATTCTAACAAGAAATAAGTCAACAAAACTGGAATTGGTTTATCAACTTGTATACTTAGATGACTTAACTATTGAATGGATGATAAACAAACCTAATTTCTTACCATCAATGCCCTCAAATAATAATACCCACCAAAGCATCCCTCTTAACGGTTGCCTTGGCAACTCTTTGAATCCTGTTATCTTCTTTATGGCATAGCTATTGGGTGATTCCTTGGTAGAAATAATGATCTCGTTTGCCAAGCATTTTGCTATGGTCTTGATGCTCCTGAAGGCACTTTGTTAGACACAAGATGTAAGAAGATATATTGCTTGGTTAACACCTCTCAAGGGAGAAATATCAACAACTTGGCACCTCACAACACGAGAAGAACCAATTTGAGTTGCATCTTCTCTTGGTCCCTTGTTAATCACAACAACAATCACTTGAATAAGATTTTGGTCTGTGAGAGAAGATGGATGGTTTCCATGGCATTCTTCACAGTTCAGTCAGCCACGAGCGTCTTACCATTATTCCTTTTGTGGATCATCAGGAAATTGATCAACCTCCACAGTGGGACGAGCCTTCCTAAACCTGTCTCTGTTCCCATTTTCAGGATTTGAGGTTATTTTCTAAATCATGGTCAAATGACCATAAATGGGCAAAATTGCGTTCAGAAAATATTTAACAGCATGTGATGTCACATGTAAACGGTTGAGAGGGAGTGCTACTGGAGGGGAGGCCTTTGTCTGATCACATCACCCAGTAGGGGAGTTATTAGTCCAATTTGAAAAGTGAGGGGAGGTTTCACTATTTATGAAAAATGTGAAGAGAGTTTTAAGTCTTTTACCCTGTATTATATCTTGTTTTTATTTATTCAGGATATATTACATACATGGCATACCTCCCTCCCTCTAGGTTTTAAAAGGCTATAGGCAGAGGTGAGACAGTTGGGTACGTGAAAATTTATTACTTATATGATCTTTTTTTTAAGCCCTAGGTTAGTCCATTCAACTCATAGTAAGTCTTTTCAGGAATATCTTCCGACATCCTAGATGGCCAAAAGATATAATGAGCTTTTGGGGTCTTGTCTTCAAAGATCTAGATTGTTTGGAAAGTATCCTAGTCTACCATGGTCTACATAGCTGTTAAATGAAAGATTTTAGGTGCAAAAATACTTTTTGGCCGTTTTGGGCTTCCAATGAGCTTTTTAGGGCATATGTCTTTCTGGTTTTCTATCTTTCATTGCCAAACAAAGAAAAACCAAATTTTAGTCTTCCAAGCTTTGAAAAGCCCAAAACACGAAAAAGACTTGCCAAACACCTCCTAAGATTTTCTTATGGTTCCTAAGCATGAATAAAGTTCTTACTAGGAGTTAGGTTGGTCCATTCAAATCATAAATTAAGATTTTCCTATGGTTCCTGAACATAACAAAGTTCTTACTAGGAGTAAATTAGCTAGTAGAGGAATGAACTTTGATCCATTTTGCACCTTTTGTAACCTGGAACATGAAACTGAGGAACATATATTTATGGCATTCCCATTTGTAACACAATGTTGGGCTCTTGCTAGCCATTTGGACATTGGCCCAAATCAGGACAAAAACAAGAACATGGTGCTGTTGAATCCTTAGTTAATCAAAGGATGTGTCATCCAAATGAGCTTACCTTATTTGGAATATTTGGGTTATGAGGAATAAAGTAATCTTTAACGATTCCAATCCTTGCCCAGTTCTTGTTTTGGAAAAATCTGCTAGTGATCTTCAATCCTTCCTTGTGAGTTGCACTTCCCTCTCCAATTCATCTCCTCACTTTTCAGGGACAAATCAAAGTCAACTTCGATGCTGCTGTTAAGAGGGATACTGAACCTTCGATCAGCTGGGTTGCTTGTGACTATGGTGGGAAGATCATTGCTTTCAATTCTAAGAGGACTGGCAAGGTTCCTATCAATAATGCTGAAATTTGGATGGCTAGAGAAACCTTGGATGCAATTTTTCATCATAATTGGATGGATGCCATTGTTGAAAGAGACTCCAAGATCATCATTGACTGCATCAGTAAGGAGAGCCCAAGTCCCTGGACTTTCCATAATATAATTGAGATATTTCGAATGGTTTGGAAAATAGAAATTTCACTATCCAGTTCAAGCAAACTTTTTCCTGAAGGAAACAAGCTTGCTGATTTGCTTGGGAACCTTGAGTCCAAATTTCAGATTAGACCTTCTTCTGGTTGAGAGGTAAGGTTAGTTGATTGCTGGAGCTGTGTTGCTCCTTTCTTGTGTTAGTTTTTCTTCTTTTTCCCGATTGAAAAAAAAAGAGAAAAACTTATAAAATTAAGGTTCCATTACAAATCACCAACAAGGGTGAGTACAAAAAAAGATGGAGCTTGGTCTCATAGAAGAGACCCAAAACTAGCCTTGGTAAATTGGGTTAGGGAGTAAGTAGAGGTGTAATGTGGGCCGTGCTGGGCTGGCATGACCCACTTTTTTGGGCTGCTTGCATTGTAGCGGGCTGTGGTGGGCTTTGCCTGCTTGGGTCGAATTTGCCAAGAGGGGAGCACAGCACAATCCTAGGCCTGAGCCCTAGTGGTCCGGGCTCCCATTCCCTCTCATTATATCTTATATTTAAGGTATTTTTCTCACCAATAAATTCTATTGCTTAGATCCTTATCCAATACTTTTAACAATATAAAACCCATGTGTTTTTCTAAACTGTTCTTCTGACCATGTAGTTGGTAAGCAATTCAACCATCCAGGTCAAATGGGTCAACCTCTAATGTTACAATTAAATAATAAAAATTTAAAAAGATAAAACACAAAAATTGTCAAAGATACATAGGTTTTGTAAAAAACATTTGAGCACATCTCTAACATATACACACATATTATTAATATCATCATCATCATCTAAAATTACCACGTGCAAAAACATGTGTACATATGCTAGTGTAATAATTTGTTTGTGAATCTACATATATTTTAATTTATTAATACATAAATAGATGTACGATCAAACTAAATTTATTTTTAGCTTCTTTATGCATTTTGAGGTACAATTAATTTCATTAGTAGCCAATTTGTATACTTACTTTTTATTGTATTCTCTACTTAAATGAAATAATCTATTGATTTAATTAATTTATGTATATTCTAGTCTATTTTAATATAAGCTCATAATAGAATTTTTAAATGAATATTTTTCATTATATACAGCTCTATTGGTGCTAAGAAAGTGACAACTAAAAAAGAATAAATTCTCTCTTGAAATTTTTATTGTATTGTATTGCATTGTTATAGTACATATGTATAGAGCTTGTGTTTGAGTTTTAGTTGTACAGGAATTTAGGAGAATAGTTACAAAGGATAAATAACAAGGTTGTTATTGATAACAACACAAACGAGAAGTGTTTGACATGCATGAGGATTCTTTTCTCTCTTGTATGAGCTGGTTACGCTAAGACCCTTCCTCAAACTTTACATTGGAGAGGAGATGCTAAGTTTGTGTGCAATAGTTGATGTTGGTGGAGGCTCAATGCTTTTGGTTATGATGTTTGCAACCTGATCCACTGTAGAGATGTACTTAACAAGGAGTGCTTTCTTATTAACTTGCTATCTCACGAAGTGGAAGTCCACTTCAATATGTTTGCTATGAGACTAAAATACAAGCTTGACAAAGAGGTATGTGTCATCCACATTATCACAGCATAGAATATAGGCGGATCTGTAATTCGGGATGCAATTTTGGTAGGCTCGAGTTGGGGTTTTGCCAAAATTTGAATGGACTTGATCCAAAGGATTTGAGCCTATAGCAATGTAAAATACCAATTTGGGCCAATTCGAGTCGCACCCCTATCTGTAAGAGGAAACCCAAGTTCATGGAGTGGGCAACAAGACACAAAATCTCAGAAATAGCATGTGTCAGACTTTGATACTCAAATTCTGTACTAGACTTGGAAGCTACATTGAGGCGCAAGGTATGATACACAACCAGCATCAACAGTATACTTGAGATACTGTACAATCCTTTTCCTTTTTGCAGTAGTAAAGTGATGAATTGTAGGGGAGTGCATGAACTGGCACACTTAATTTATTGCAAAGGAGATGTTAGGATGGGTGAGGGTAAGATATTGTAATGCACCTACTAGGCATTGATAGGGAGTAGGATTTGTAAGAGGATCACCATCATCATTCTTTAGTTGCACACCTATGAGCCATTGGTGTTTTTATAGGTTTGATATCTTCAAGTCCTCTAATTATCAAATCATTGACTCAGGGATGTATTGATGTTGAGAGAAAGAGACCAGATGTGATTCATGTAGCTTGAATGCCCAAAAAATAATGTTGGTTGAGATCCTTTACTACAAAGGTAGGACTTATTTGAGAAATGAGGAGATGCTAGTCAAATTGGATCGAGTTACTATTGTATCATCAACATAGATCAAAACAAAGAGGAAATCATCATCACAACGTCTAATAAAAAGAGAGGCATCTGAAAGTGAGGGAGTAAAGTCTGTAGACTGAAAGAATGAATGAAGTTTTTGGTAGCACACCATTGGGATTTACTCAAGCCCATAGAAAAACTTCTGTTAATGGCAAACATGAACAGGGAACTTGCTGTCCATAAACCCCAGAGGCTCTATTATATAAACATCTTTATCAAGTGAACCATGCAAGGATGCATTTTGACATCTAACTAGTGAATGTCTCATTCTTAAGAGACAGCTGAATCATGGTGGATTTGGTGACTAGATTGAATGTCTCTTTGGAGTCAATACCAGCTCTTTGATTATATCCCTTAGTAATTAGATGGGTTTATGCCTCTCTATGGAGTCATTGTGTTTCTGTTGAGATGGAATACCTACTTGCAACCTACAAAATTAGCACCAGGCAGAGGAGTGAGAACCCAAGTTCCATTCTTAAGAAGTGCATTAAATTATTCCTCCATGGCTTGATGCTAGTTACGATCTTACATCACTTGAGAGTAGCATGCAGGCTCAATTGAAGTATGGGAGAGAGGATGTCAAGATGCTAAAAGATTAAGTATTTGGCATGGCTTGAAGACACCTCTCTTCAGTCTTATTTCCATAGGATGTCCACCAGAAAGTGGTGTAGCATGAGATGGTGGTAACATGGTTTAAAATGTCCCTAATTTCCTTAATATTTTCACGACGTATTTCCACTTCCATGGGTAGTGACACGAAATTTTACCGGAATCGACATTTCCCCAATGAACACTACCAACACCATGTGGAGTACAACAAATAGTTTCCATGACATATTTCCATTTCCACTTCCATAGGTAGCGACATGAAATTTTACTAGAATCAACTTATAACGTAAGATGGTACACTATTGTAAATATGTTAAGTAACAATGTTATTGTCCACCTAACTTACATGATTACCACTTTGAGCAAACTCAATATTCATTTCAAAAATGAAGTTAAATATTAGTTTTTGTTTGTATAATACATTATTTGGTTGATCTATTACAATCATTTACATTTCCTATGAGTTAAATTTTTTCTTGCTCTGAATCTTAAAGTTCACAGGGCAACTTCAAGACGTATTCTTTGTCTATAACCTTAGTTTCTTAGCTTTGTTTAATGATTTGCACAAGATAATAATTTAAAAAGGTGTGCCTATGCTTCTTTTATCATTTCATAAAACGTCTTTATAATTTTTACACCATGTTTATAATTTTTACAATATTTCCATACGATATTTCTGACGTTTCCGACATGTTTCTTATATTTGGATGGCCGATATTTCCACCGACACCGACATTTTAAATCTTGGGCTGTAACAAGACCATTTCAGACTGGTCAAATGGAGTAGAGAAACTGGTAAGAGAAGTCTCAACACACGTAGAGTTAGTGGAAGGTGGAGATTAAGATTCCAATGTGGATGGTACCATAGAAGGAGAGGAAGGCCTAGTAATGGGTGGCTACCTAATAACAAGTGGTAGCCTGACTAAAGAAGGTGTAATAGCAGCAATAGGTGTAGAGGAGTCGTTGTACTCTTCAACATATAGAAAACAATGTTTTAAAACATAGAGACATGACACAAGGCATTCCACTACCTGGAGGCGTGAGGCGTAGTTTAAGTTTTAAGCCTCCTGAGCACAAGGAGGTGTGTAAGCCTCCTAAAGGGGAGGAAAAGGAGGAACAGGAAAGAGAAGAGGAAGGGGACCTCTTTTCTTATTTCATTTTTATGAAAAATGTTTCCAAGAGAGAAAGCTAGAGGGAGCCCCCTGCCAAGGAGGTGTTGGGGGGGGGGGGTATGGGGGGCAAAACCCCCAACCCAAACTTTCTTTCTATGTTCTTAATTTTTCTTTTCTTCCTTTTTCTTCTCTTTCTTTATTTCTTTTTCTTTCCCTTTTGTTCCCTTCCCTTCCCTTTCTTTTTTTTTTCTTTTTTCTTCTCTCTTCTTTCTTTCTTTTCATATGAGGCGTACATTAGGTGCATGAGGGAAGCATGCAACTATGGGAGCATAGTTGAAGTTTGTTATCATTATAAGGCCAAATGTGTGGGAAAGCACCCACACCCAAATATACATAGCATAGTGTAATTAGGCGCATGACTGAAAAGAACCTCCCAAGCTGATTTGAATGCAGCACACTGGAGGGAAGCAAGTTAATCAAGAGAATGACAGTAGAGAACACATAATCTCAGCATTTGTGAGGGATAGATGCATGGGCGAGCAAAGTAAGCCCTATTTCAACAATATGATAATGCTTGTGCTTAGCCCTACCATTCTAAGCTTTCATGTAATTGCAAACCCTGTATCTAGTAGTGCCTTCTTATTGGTGATAAGAATCAAAAGATTTGAATTCACCATCACCATTGCTTTGGTGATGAGAAATATAGACAATGCATCATATTCTTCAAATGAAAGAACCAAGTGTAGTGAGTAGTGACTATAGTCATCTAAAAAATAACAGAGTAACAAAAACCACAACTAGAGACAATGGGAGTCATCCCCATAGATCACAATGAACTAATTCCATGGGTGTGGGACCTTTACTGTAACTACGCTGGAATGCAAGGCAATGAGATATGCCAAGTGGATAGGAGTGACAAAAAGATAATGGCTATGAAAAGGATGTAAGCCAATGATCACGCACAACTTTTATTTGTAATTCTAGCTGTAGGATGGCCAAGTTAGAGATGCCATACATTGAGACTGACACATGACCCAACACAAGCCTTCTTTGGGTTGGACTTGGAGGCAAGCCTAGGAAGATGCAGCTCATATAATACCATCTCTATTTAGTCCTTGAAACAAAATCACCTTGGTCTTGAGGTCCTTTATGAAAAATTAAAATGGGTGAAATTCAAGAAAACATTGTTGCCAGAAGTGAACTTGGCAATAGATAGCAAATTTAAAGAAATATCTGGTATGTGAAGAACATACTTCAAATAAAATGGCTTAGAAGAGTGAGGTGTAACAGAAGAACCAAAGTGAGTGATGGTCAAACCTGAATCATAACCAGTTGTGATATAATCTAGGCCGTCATAGTCTAGGTGAAGTTGCATCTTGCCATGGTCTAATGTCAGATGGTGAGTGGCACCTGAATCCAGAAGTCATTTGTCAAGGGATTATGTGTTGTTGTTGCAAATACTGAATGATTTAGTCTTTGTCCTTTGACTTGAGCAATGTGATTCAGTTTTCAATATCTTTTTGAATGATTCTTCCCACCACATGTTTGAGAGGGATTTTTGTTATGCTTAAAAGGATTTGTTGGTGAGATCCAGAGGAGAGAGCTTTGAGGCCTGAGATACAACATTTGTTGAAGGAGTAGTAAGATGAGAAGTTTTAACTCAAATTTCTTGAGACGAGCATACCAAGATGAGTTGTGTAAAAGGTTGACCAGGAAGCGAAGCTAATACTTTCATTATTAAGGGTATTTTGATAAAATACCGATTTCTGTATTGATTCTAACTCATCTGTCATCCAACCCCTGTAGATTTGTGGTCAAATGGAGTTTGAGTTATCACTTATCAGGGAAACTTGAGGGATGGTAGAGTATTTGACCAAAATCCCAAGGGAGGTATAAGTAACTTATTTATTTTGTTGGTGGTCCATTTACTTTTATTTAGGATATCCAAAATCTATTTGACATACTAGTTTCTGAACAAGAAGTACACTTTGTTTTTTGTTTTTGATCATAATCAATCACTCATTTTGTTCTCTGCAACTTTTGCATAGATTTTGCAAAGGAGTTGCTTGATAAGTTCCCCAAACTAGCTACTGAAAGAGATCCATATGGAAATACTGCATTTCGTATTTTGGCCTACAAGCCGGTGGCATTCAAGAGTGGAAGTAGATTGGGATTTTGGCAAAATTGTATCTACTCATGTGAGTTTCTACTTTCAACTCCTACTTTTGTTATTTTTTAATTAATTTAGATGTTTGTTATAACGGTGTTCTGAATTTTTCTCATTGAGTTAACTTTGGTTCATATGCCAATATGAGTATTTCCTAATCATAGGGACCAATGAAATGATTCCGTGTCAAAGAGTGGTCTGTATCAGAAAAGAATACTGTTAACAGAAGTAGAGCATCTTTCACTGAGTTAGAGCAGATATCAAGTTTAGATTGGATTTAAACCTAGGTTTTGATGGGACTGTTTCTTGTTCATGGTTATGTTTTCTTATGAATGGGTAATTTCCTCAATGAATGACAAAGGGTGGCCCATGCCAGTTTGATAGAGAGAGATTTATTAAAAATGAAAGTGAGTACAATAGACTGGGAGGCATCATCCATCACAAAATACAAAATGAATTACATTTTTGCCCAAAACATTTGCTGCCTATTAACCCTAGAACATCTGTCATTTTGCACCCACTTAAACTACATTTTAACTCCCTTAATAGGCTTACAATTTCTCTAAAAGTGTGCTTGTAGATCCAAAGAACTCGATTATTGCATATTGTCCAAAAAATGACCAATTTTAAGCCTCCCCTCCAAAAAGTTAAGTCCTTGCAGCAATGCCATCAATTCAGCTTTTAATGAGTTACCTCCTCCTATACATCCCGAATAGAAAGCCAGCACCTTTCCATACGAGTCATGGAAAATGCCCCCCTATACCAGTCATCCCTTGAATGCCCAAAGAGCTCCATCGAAATTTAATTTGAGTTGAAAACCTTTGTATTGTGTTTTTTTTTTTTTTTTTTTTTTTTTTATAATTTAGGAAATTGTAATTACAATTTTTATGTTGAAAAATAAAGCACTGTTTCTCTGTGGAAGCTCTGTCATCAGTCTTATCTTTGAACTTCTCGCACAAAAATAATAGCTATCTGTTAGACCACTTGTCACTTAGTACATTACCTATACATGTTTAAATATACTCGTAACTACCTTCTGCCAAATATAATACTCATTAATTTTGTTGATTTCTCTTGCAGGGGTTGAAGTCGAACAAGCTTCCACTTGCTGCTGTACAAAAGGAGATATAGAGAATTCCATGCAGAGTCCTACAAATTGCTCATGTATTCTCATTGCATTTCCGTTCCTTGGAGATATTTGAATCAGAGCCCAGGTTAGCTGCAATTGATGGGTTTATTAGAGGCTGTTTAATCAATTTTAATGTCCCATGCCAGCCATCCTATGATCAGTCAAATCACTCCAAATCCTCTGCTGCCCAGTGAGGAGAGGACCCTCTATTGGTCCACTTATGTCATGCTAACTCATTTAAGTTAAGATAGTATTCATGAAAATTTACATGGTTTTGATTGGCCAAAGCTCTTCTGGTATCATGTCTTTCCCCTATTAGTGGTTATTTATTTACCCACTAACAACTCAATAAGTTGGCGTAATATCATTGGGCCAGTAGAAGATCCTGTCCTTACTGGCCAGTACAGGATTTGGAATGCACTCCAATCTCCCACTTTGCATGCATGGCTGACGTGGGATATGATTATTGGGTAAATAGCCCCTAACACAGCCATCAGTGCTGTTAATCCAGATTAGTAGAATCATTCATGTGCGCATGGCAGTTTACTAGAGGTGCAACTTGGGTGGCCAAACCAACTAGTATCCAACCCAACCATAAAAGATTGGGTTTTAAGGATGGGGTTAGGAGCAGATGCCAACTTGATTTGAACCCGAATTAGGTTAGGGTTGAGAAATCAGGTGTTTAAAATTGCATTAAGGATAGGATTGGAAGTGGATGCCAACTTGATTTGAAATCGAGTTGGGTTGGGGTTGAGAATACATATCCAGGGTCATTGCTTAGTGTAATCTTAGGCTTAGGTTTACAAGCATGAGAATATGGGTTCAACTCTAAGAATGACCAACGTATATTCAGTCTACCCCTTTGAATGTCACAGATATAGCAGGGATTAACATTATTTGTATTGGTTTGCAATTTATGAATTGGCAACAGAGAGGAGAGAGAGAGGGATTTTCTATAAAAATATTACTATAACATGATGTCCTGATGCCATTTTGCAATTAAAATGTGTTTCTGATTCTTCATATGAGCGTAAATTACGTTATTAAGGTCCCAATCCGAACAACATGATTTCATGATGTATTATCAGTTAGGGTTGAATCCTCTTCTTGGGTTAGGATTAGGGTTGATGGTTAAACACATTGTTTCAAACTTACCTAACCCCACCTGAGTTGCACCGGCAAGCATCAAGTTGCATCTTAATAACTGCTCTTGATATTGACCTATGAGCCTAAATAATAACTACTCTTTTGCATATATAGCTAGTAATTAATAAAGGATGAACCTGTGATGTCAGTGGGTCGGTTTAAGTGATAACATCACATTGACCCAACCTTTTCAGGTTAGAGTCGGGTCATCCGTATTCGAGTTTCAGTTCAGGTTCAAGGGTAAATTCCTGCTACACCCGACCCATTGGCATTACAGCATTGAAATATTTGTATATTAGGCCTTAATTGAGTAATGAATGTACTATATGTTGAACGGGTTGCGTCAGGTTTAACACGGGATTCAGGTTGAGATGGACCTGTACTGAACTGACCCATTAACATCCCTAGATGAATGTATCAAATGTATTAACTATAACGTAATATGATGTTGTAGTCCTTCAAAGCTTGAAGACATTTCTTCGGCCTGCTGTGATTTTAAAAGGTAAATGTGTATAACTATTTTCTCCTGGTTGGACATTTTCTGCTGTAGTGCTTAACTTTTCATTTACTCTATTTTAACTCAATCATTCTTTATTGTGTTGGTTTTGATTTCAATTGCAGTCCCATGCATTAAGCATGTCCATGATATGAAACTAATGCATATGCAAGTGCAGAAACTTATCAATCGCATCTGTGCTCAAGTGCTACTTCTCAATGACAAAGAGGAGATTAAGAAGTTGTTCATGGAAGTCTTGGTCTCTGCAAAATTTGGGATCATTGAACTCATTCAAATTTGTGTTCAGGCATATCCTGAGGTGTTGTGGTATGAAACCGATGGACGTAATATTCTCCATCTTGCAATTGAATATCGCCAGGAAGAGGTTTTCAACATTCTACGTGGATCAGGTGCATTTTTTAACATCTTGGCAAATCCTAGACTGAGGAACCTAAACAGCATAATTCATTTGGCGGCAAAACTGGCACCACCTTCAAAACTCAACTCAGTGTCAGGTGCAGCTCTACAAATGCAGCGAGAGCTACAGTGGTTTAAGGTGATTATCTCTACCTTTCATTAGTCGAGATAGCACATACTACTGAGAACAAAACAAGAACAGAAAAACCAAACTTAGAATTACGACAACTAGCACCACAATCTAAATTGAAAGCTGGAGAAAGCCAGAGTGGTAGGCGGTCATCAAACCACAGGTTCATATCAAAACCTTTTTCTGCCAAAACATGTGCCACCTGATTTGATTCCCTAGGAACCCAGGAGAAATTGATGTTCACCCCTTCACAGAGCTTCAAAATGTCTTCCTTTAAAAAGACCAGATCTAGGTGAAGCGATCCAACATTATCTCTTATCTGGTTCACAAGTTGAAGACAGTCAATTCAAAAATCACATTGACCAAACCTTTTGATCTTACTATCTTCAATGCCTCCAAAAGAGCTAGAGCTTCAGCTGCAAGAGGGGATGATGCATTCACTGGATCACAACCAACCCACCAACCAAAACTATCCACATATCTGGCAATGAAACCAAAACCAGATTTTTGGAGATGTGAAACCACCGTCAACATTCACCTTCACAGAACCAAAATCTGGTGGGACCAAAAAACTGGAGGAACTCTGCCTCTTACTGTTGAGGAGTTTCCCATCCCTGATGCCAAGTTAGAGATGTCTCCACTATTGACCTGTGGAAGTGTGGATAGAGGAAGTAAAATCCTTGTTTTCAAAATGGAACAGGCTATCCTTCCAAAGCTCCCAAAGGCAGATAGCCACTTTCGTCAGAAATTCAGAATGGGAAGATTCCGTATCTTGCAATTGGCTATTATACCAGCTACCAAAGGCCAAATCTTGATTAATACCAACACTATTCAAACCCAAGCCTGAACCTAACCAAATGAATCTACTTTTATCACATAAGAATGCATTCAAGGGAGTTTCCTCCTCTTTTTTCACACCTTAAACACAGAGGGGTGTTTACAATCTTCCTCCTAACCAAATTTAGACCAACAGCTAGGCCAATATATTGCATCTCCAAAGGAAGTGCTTTACCCTAGGCTCCATAGGCAATGACCAATGCAATCTCCACTAATTTTTATTTAACAAGGGAGCCCTCTCCCTTGAAGGCTCATCAAACACACCTGCAAAGCAAGATAATAGGCAGACTTTACGGAGAAAGACCCTGAGGTGTTTGCAGTCCAAACAATTTTTGTCTTCCCAATCATTTAAAGAAAGTCTAATATATCCAGTACTTTTTGAGCCTTTTCCTCAGTGAATAAACTCCTAGTCAGATCAACATTCCTTCTTCTCCCACTGCTAACTAAAAGACTAGACACTATCGGATTAGTGGAAGAAAGGGATCTCGGACCCATGGGCTTGAAACCATCTAGCCCTGGAATCCTCGGGTCAGAGTAGACATCTATATTAGTGTCTTTATTTATCTTCAAAAGAATACCCTTATCCACCACTCTTTTACCTTATGACACACTTTTCTGGCCCCAAGATTGCCGAAGCTTAGATTTAACATTCAGAAAGTGGGAATTGGGAAAGTATTTTGCTTTCATGAGCTTATCCTGCACATTGGAGATCTGTACAGAGCCTCCAAGCCAATTTTTCTAGCAAGGCTCAACTTAAAGCTCTTGGATCTCTTAATCCTAGGCCACTGTTCATTTTATTCTTAATCTAATTCCAAGAGATCCAACTTATTTTCTTTTTTCTCTTGAGAATCCCCCCACCAAAACCTTCTTTGTAATTTGGAGAGATTATCACAAACCTTTTGGGGCAATAAGAAACAAGACATGCAGTAAGAGGGAATAGCAGTTAAAACAGATTTTAGAAGAATCTCCTTGTCTGCTTGCGAAAGGAGAAAACCCCTCCAACCCAAATTTTTATTTGCCACTCTTTCAGTTAAGTAGTTAAAAAATGACATTTCCTTCTACCAATAAGTGGGAAAGTTCCAAGCTATTTAGAAGGGCTATCAACTTAAATGGAATTGGCTACAAGTTTTTTTTTTTTTAACTTTGGGTGCATGTTTTTCCATAATTCACCTTTTGACTGGATGCCTCATCATAAACTGAAATTGCTTCCACCCGACACCTCCTTTAAGATTTGTTGATGTCAAGATATAACTGTCATCTGTAAAAAAAGAGGTGCAATAACTGGAGCTTGTCTACAGATTTTAACTCCAGATAAAGAATTTCTAGCAACCATGCCATTGAGAAAGTATGGCCCCTTGGTTTTTAAATTCAACATTGTTTCGTGTTTGTACTTAGGACTGCAACTTGGGTTGCCTTAGCCTGCACCCAACCCAAAATGTAGGGGTGGAAGCCAGGCTAGGTTAGGTAGGGTTTAAGGCTAACACTGACCCTTGGGTTCAGGTTGAACCAATTTCTTGACTTCTTTTTATTAAGATTTATTTTATTTATTTAGTTTTTTTTTTTTAATTTTTTGATTCCATGGGACTTCACAATGGGGGATGGACCCCATCCCCAAATCATCATAACCCCCAACCCTAGTGAAGTTGGGATTCGATCCAAGTCTCAGCTACAACAAGCTAGAGACTTTACCAACTGAGCCAGCTGGCACCTTCTATTTTCCAGACTTGAGATTAGGGAACTAAGGTTAACTTATTTAGCATTATGGGTCATTTACTTAGACACCCCCTATAGTTTTGTTTATTTTCTAAAACCTACTTTTTAATTTGTCTTCTACTGAAAACATCGCATATAGCTTGCAACAGCTTTACTTAATCAACCTTTCGCCAGGAACCATTTATATCTCTGTTTGGGAATGGTCACAGAAACTCCTAAAATGAGTTAATAATGTGAAATAGCATGGGCCTAACGTTTTTAGTCCAAAAATACCCCTGACAATTCTCATATATTGCATATTCCCTCCTTCTCCATACCAAGGTTATAATTTGAGGGGAGGGCTTTGTTTCCTGAAGGTTGATATGAGAATTACTACGGGTATTTTTGAAATAAAAAACCCTGGACCCATGCCTTTTTCACATTTTTAACTCGTTTTAAGAGGTCACATAACCATTCTCAAACAGAAATACAAAAGGTTCTTCACAGATGGGTGATTAAGAAAAGCAATTGCAAACTATAGGGGTGTTTTAGCAAAATGCAAACTAGAGGGTAAGTTTTAATAAATACACAAAACTATAAGAGTGTCTTAAGTAAATGACCCTTATTTTATATACAGGGACGAAGATATTTTGTTTTGACAAAATTGTTATACATAAATACATTCATATTTATATAATGATATTTTAATATACAGATATGAAGAAATGTTGGGTTCGCGGGTCAGGTTGCCCAATGCCTCAACACTAATCCAAGCCAAAGTTAATTCAGGTTCATATTTTCCAACCTTAACCTTAATCCAAACTTCAATCTACCCAACCTTACATTTTCAGGTTACGTTTGGTTTAACCTGATCCAAGTTGCACCCCTAGTGTTGTAAGGGATATCTTTGGTGTTTTACATTCTACCCTTTTGGCAAGTTCTTTTTTAGCTTACCTTTTAATTTTACTTTTTTTTAATAATTAAATCACCTAAAATTATACATGGATTAGAGTTAGATTCTGAAATGGGAATAATTAAATCACCTAAAATTTTAGAATCAAGAAATACATAACACAACCAATAACATGTTTTCCATGTTTATTTTTTATTTTTTATTTTTTATTTTAAAAATCAATGCTTTTCTAAACTAAGTACGGAACCCTTGTTTTGGAACTCAAAATAAGAAAATTAATTTACATTGGAGAATACCCCCTTTAAATTCTGGTTAAGACTATATTGATGGATTAATTAAACATGCTAGTTCTAATATTATGAACGTTTGTCAGTGACTTAAATTTCTTACAACTTTGACCAAAGTCGTCTTTCATTTGATATATTGAACATTGTCATTGACTTAAAGTTCGTTGTAACTGTGATCAAAGTTTTAGTAGATTTTACCTAATATTTTGGTTAACAAGATTTAATTTTCACGTCAATTAATTACTTTATGATCTATTATCACTTTAAAGAAATACTTATGTGGCCATCTCTTATTGTTGTAAAGGAAGTAGAGAAGATTCCAACACCTGGGTACAATACACGGCCTAATAACAGTAGCAAAATAGCTAAAGATATGTTTACTGAAGAACACAAGGACTTACTTGAAAAGGCAGAAAAGTGGATGAAAGACACAGCAGCATCATGCATGGTTGTAGCCACACTCATTGCAACAGTAGTTTTTACTGCAGCATTCACAGTTCCAGGTGGAAACAACAGTGATAGTGGCAACAACTATGACAAAGGATCACCCATCTTCCTTGAAGAAAAATCATTCATGGTTTTTGCCATATCAGATGCAATAGCACTCTTCTTCTCCACTAGTTCAGTGTTGATGTTTCTGTCTATCCTCACATCACGATATGCAGAAGAAGACTTCCTCAAATCCTTGCCCACGAAGCTGATAATTGGACTGGTCACTCTTTTCTTCTCTATAGCTGCTATGATGATAGCATTTAGTGCCACATTTTTCATCATTTTTAGTCATAGATTTTCCTGGCTTTCCATTCTTATTGCTGCATTAGCCACTTTTCCGGTAACCTTATTTGCTTTATCTCATGCTCGTCTCCTTGCTGAAATAGTCATATCCACCTATGGATCAGGCATCTTTCAACAAAATAGATCAATTTTCCCATCTTCAAGTGGCCAGGAAAAGGAAAACATGCACTGAATGCATGTTGTAGTTGCCATCTTCTGAAAAAAGTTGAATTGAAATTTCAGTTTCATTTTGTTCAATTGGATTAAAATGCTTGTTTATTGATAAATACCCTACAAAATTGATAACTTTGTTTCATAGCCACACTATAGTTGAAGAAATATTTACCAAAACCATAGCATAATTCTGCTGCACTCTAATCTTTGTTTTTGTATGAAAAACATTTCGTAATAACTGAGGAAAAGAGAAATACAAAGCAAGTTCTCTTAAGCATTCTGTTGTTGCTGAGGTCAGACAATTCACCAACTGTAGGCAATCGCTTCAAATAATCACCTTATCAATCTCCAATTCCTTGATGAACAAAACACCTTCCTCAATTGCCACCACTTAAGCTGTTAGGATTAGGAGTCCGTTCAGTATTATCTTATTTGTATATATCTTCTTATCCTTTCCTTATCATGAATAGTTCAGATAGGATAGGAAAGATATATTTGAGTCCCTGTAAACTTAGGATTTCTAGTTGCCATAAGCTTAGGAGGTTTGGTGGTTGTATTCATGTATATATATACTTAAATTCTCAATGAATAAAAGACAGACAAGAATAAGCCAGCTCTGATTTCACATGGTATCAGAGCCACGAAACAGGAGTGAGAGGTCTGCGTTCCAAGACCTCTGGAGGTCAGTGGCGGAAGTGATGTTGTTCGGCGCCGGCAAAGGACAAACTTTGCACTCCAGATTCAGTTCGGCACTCTGTTCTCTGCAGAGTTTGATCTTCGCCTTCGTCCTACCAAGGCTGCAACCGGCGGTCGTCCGTTCGAGTTTTTCGCAAAGCTCTTCGGTCTTCTTTTGACCGTCCATAGATTGTCCAAAAGCCACCTGTTGGCCGCCTGGGTTGTAAGCATAGGCCCTCACGAAGTAAGTTGCCATGGGAACATCTCTCTCGATTGTCCAATCGAAGCTCTGTTGGTTGGAGTCGTAAGCTCTGGTTTTACAATTCAGCCTGCCAGGAACTGGAAAGACAAGCTTGATCGCTGCCATTGCGAATTTCCTCGAATTCGATATCTATGACCTCGAATTAACGACAATGTCGAGTAATTCACAGTTGAGGAAGCTTCGGATCTTGACTTCCAGCAAATCGATGATCATCGTGGAAGACGTCGACTGTTTGCTTGATCTTTTAGATCGGAAGAAGAAGGAAAGCTTAGAGGTGGTGGAGACAGAGGAGTCACAACGGCAGAGGAAGTAATAGCTTCGGAGCACTATTAGTCTATCTGGGGTTCTGAACTTCGTCGATGGGCTCTATCGTCTTGTGGTGGAGAGAGACTGACGATATCGAATTGACAGGTCTTGTCTTTGCTCAACTCGTCTTGGGTCTTCCTCCACCCATGGTCTTTTTGGTTGATGGATGAAGCAGTGACAACGAGAGTTCGTTGAAGAGAAGAGAAGAGAACGGTTCCATGACATGACTCCACTAATAAGCAGAAGGCAAAGGCAAGAAGAGAGGCGATGAGAAGATGGGAGGCCATTCGTACAAAAGAATAGAGGAGGAAATTCTTCTCCTTCTACAGAAGTTCCGTTTGGTTGAGACTGTTGATCGGACAACTGTCCTAACAAGGGCTCAAGTCTCCGGTGAGTCAACGTTCTGCGGTAGCGGAGATCGGCTCTTTGTCGTTTGTGGCGATTCTGCCACCGATTGTGGGTTTTCAGACACAGTAGTCGGTATGGCTGAAAACAAAGAAAAAGAACAGGGTGAACAGAAACAAGGAGTAGGGGCAGGAGGAAAAGGTTGTGGCGGCCAAGTCAAGGCCCATATAGCCAAAGCCTCTGCGCAAGGCAATGCGTCTCAAGGAGAATCAATTGATGCAGCCAAGACTGGGTTAAATGAACTGAGTAGTGAGTAGTGGAACATGTTACTCAAACTTTTGAACACACAGAAAGAGGGGAGTCAACGACTAAGTGGTAAGCAAAAATTGACAGAATGGATGATAGACACAGGGGCATCTCATCATATGACAGGAAGCCTCGAGTCGATGAGAGACATAAAGAATGTCATTCCGTGCTCTATCGGGTTACCAGACGGGAAAGCGACAGTAGTAGAGAAAGAAGGCACAATTGCACTAGACGATCATTTGAAACTAACTAGTGTTTTATATGTGCCTAGTTTGAACTGCAATTTACTTTCCGTATCGCAATTGATTGAGGAACCGAATTGTATTGTCCAGTTCACTAATAAATTCTGTGTGATACAGGACCGCACTACGAGGATGTTGATTGGAGCGGGTGAGCAGCGAGGGGGACTCTATTATTTCTGGAGCATTGCATCAACAAGAGCAATGAAGACTACAGAAAGCAGGACGAATGGTGATATTTGGCATCAAAGGTTAGGGCATCTTTCTTATAGAATATATAAGTTGTTGCCTTTTATTAGTACTAAGAATAGTAATGATGACAGTATTAAGGGTTGTGATGCATGCTTCTGAGCTAAACAATGTCGAGAAGAGTTTGTTTCTAGTAATAATAAAGCATCCGACATTTTTGAGTTAATTCATTGTGATTTGTGGGGTCCTTATAGAACTGCAGCTTCTTGTGGTGCTCATTATTTTTTGACTATAGTAGACGATTTTTCTAGAGGCGTTTGAATTTATCTTCTGGTTGATAAGACGGAAGTGGAATGGGTTCTTCGAAATTTTTTTGCTATGGTTCAAAGGCAATTTAACAAACCTGTAAAGGTGATCCGTACTGATAATGGGACTGAGTTTGTATGCTTGGYTAGTTATTTTGCTGAAAGTGGTATTATTCATCAAACCACTTGTGTCGGGACCTCTAAATAAAACGAGAGGGTTGAACGCAAGCACCGCCACATACTCAATGTTGCCCGAGCTTTGCGCTTTCAAGCCAGCTTGCCTATTGATTTTTGGGGGGAATGTGTCATGACCGCATGTTATTTGATCAATTGGACACCGTCCATTCTGTTGAAGGGAAAGACTTCCTATGAAATGTTATTTGGGCGACCTCCTTCTTTTGATAACGTGCGAGTTTTTGGTTGCTTAGCATATGCGCACAATCATGGACATGGAGGGGATAAATTTGTYAGTCRAAGCAGRYRGTGTKTTTTTGTTGGGTATCCTTTTGGAAAGAAATGATGGAGCCTGTATGATTTAGAGTCCGACATGCTCTTTGCATCAAGAGATGTTACTTTTTTAGAGCATGAGTTCCCGTATGCACACAAGGAAGATGCACAGTTGAACAAAGCACAAGGCCAATTTAATTGTGGAATAGGTGGGACAGATAAGGTGTTGGTACCATCCACTTATTTACCTGGACTAGCAAATGGCGAGATGGAGGCTAACCAGCGAGGTGAAGTCGCTGAAGAAGGAACCCGCGTAGACCCGAATGCAAATGCTGGTGAACCCATGCATTCTTGTGACGCCACCACAGAAAATGCAAGCGAAGACGGTCCTGATGTCAGGGGGGGTGGCGATGTTGAGCAACAACAGCACTTTGAATTTCAACAACACTCTGAATTTCATTTGGGGCATGGGCATCGACAGAAACAACAGCCCACAAGGTTGAGAGATTATGTGCTTCACACCACACAACACTTGAGTCCCTCTCCGCGTCCCTTTGCAAGTTCACTTGGCCAATCACATTCTGCGGGTAGTCCTTATCCCATAGATAACTATGTGAACTGTAACAATTTTTCTTGTTGACATCGTGCTTTTTTGGCAATTATTACTGCAGGAGTTGAACCTACTTCTTTTGCTGAGGCCATAAAGGATGAAAAATGGAGGGATGTAATGCGGAAAGAAATACAGACATTTGAAAATAATCAGACATGGACTGTGGAGTCTTTGCCATCTGGAAAATGAGCCATAGGATGCAAATGGGTGTATCGAATCAAGTATAACGCTAATGGGACAGTGGACAGATACAAAGCCCGTATTGTGATTTTTGGGAACAATCTAGTTGAGGGAATTGATTATAATGAAATTTTTGCCCCAGTTGCAAAAATGGTTATTGTCCGTGCGTTCCTTGCAGTCGCAACAACTAGAAATTGGGAGATTCATCAAATGGACGTACATAATGCATTCTTGCATGGTGACCTTCATAAGGAAGTCTACATGCGAATGCCTCCTGGTTTTCAGTCGGATAAACCAGGTATGGTGTTTCGGTTGCGAAAATCTCTGTATGGCTTGAAACAAACGCTGAGATGTTTGTTTGCTAAATTAGCCACAGCCTTGAAGGCATATGGGTTTCAACAATCATGTTTAGATTACTCCCTCTTCACCTTTCGTCAAGACAGGGTGCATGTGCTTGTTCTCGTGTATGTGGACGACATTATCGTGTCAGGTAATGATTGTACGACAATTCAAGTCTTCAAGAAATATTTGAGTGACTGCTTTCATATGAAAGACTTGGGCCCATTGAAATATTTTTTGGGCATTGAAGTTGCCCGAAACTTAACAGGAATCTTTCTGTCTCAATGTAAGTATGCTTTGGATATTATCTCTGAAGTTGGATTACTTGGTGCAAAACTTGCTCATTTTCCTCTGGAGTAGAATCACAATCTCGCATTGACAGATGGGCCTCTCTTATCTGATCCTGAGCGATACAGGCGCTTGGTGGGCAGGCTTATTTATCTTTTAGCAACTCGTCTAGAGTTGTCTTATTGTGTGCATGTTTTGTCCCAATTTATGCAGCAACCGCAAGAAAAACATTGGGAGGCTGCATTGCGAGTGGTGCGCTACTTGAAAGGAAATCCTGGTCAATGAATTCTCTTGCGTTTAGATTGTGACTTACAGTTATATGCATGATGCGGTTCAGATTGGGCGAGTTGTCCATTGTCCCGACGTTCTCTGTCTAGATAGTTTATTCTACTTGGGAAATTGCCTATTTCCTGGAAAACTAAGAAGCAACACACTGTGGCTCGTTCTTCAGCGGAAGCAGAGTATCGTTCTATGGCCACGGCCACGTGTGATTTAAAATGACTGAAGGGATTGTTATTGGCTCTTGGAGTTACGCATTCAAACCCAATGCAATTATATTGTGATAGTTAGGTAGCCTTGCATATTGCAGCAAACCCAGTGTTTCACGAGCGTACGAAACATATTGAAGTTGATTGCCACTTTATACGTGAT